ATTCAGCTGCAGGTATGAAGACAACAATTGGTTATAAATGAAGTCAATTTACAATATTAACATCGTCCACTTCTTATTATTTAGTGACTCAAACGCTTTTTGAATAAATGTGTAATTTGCGGTTTATTTGTAGTTTTACTCAAGGGATTACTCCTCTTCCAACTAAATAAATTAAATATGTCAATATGAGTTGAATTAAAATAAAATCGTGCACGTTTACTGTTAACTGCCTTTGCCGGGGTAGATATTTGAAATATTAATAGAGTACATTATTTAAAGTTTATGAACTCATAATGAGTTCATTCCTGAATAAAATGCAGTCGGCCAGTAGTAATAAGGCAGAATTTTCTTGCTCAATTCTTCACCGTGATTGCTTCATTTGGATATTGGATAATAGTCTTTAAATCTTGATCGACGCGATAACCGCTTCATGACTAGAATGCGATAAAAAGCAGAGTCCACACCTACCCGATCTTCCGACTGAAGAACATTTCTGAAACTCTATAAGAACTAAAACCTTAGTTCATCCCACTGCTTATCGATAGTATTACGCGAGTGATGAACTCGAAGATCTATCGCCACTCTTCATAATATTGTTGCATAGCCTTGACGCGTAACGATGAAGTCCAACAACACAAATAAAACTTGCCATACACAAATGTGCCAACCATGCCAACTTAAACTGCACCATTCCTAACCTCTGGGCTGCCGAGAGTCTGAGTAAATACTAGCTAGTTGCAATAATAATAACATTCATAATTCATTCGTTGTTCTTGAGTTAAGGTATTTTTCAATGATTTGTTCAATAGCGTGGATCGAAGAAGCATTCTTTGGTATATCATCATCTGCTCTGCAATCTTTTCTAAGTCTGTTCTTTTCCTGAATAAGGTAATGCTGTAAGACTAATATTCAAATCACCCATCTGTTGCCCAAATAGACCGAGCATGTTGATGAATTGCTTTGAGAAAACAATGCAAGAAAATCTGTACATATTAGTTGAAGACGACGCGATCTCTCTACCAACTTTGTTATCAGACTTTTTAAAGGAATTTGAAACTGGCTGCGTTCTAGGAACTTTCTCGCTAAAGAATGGTGCAAGTGAACTAGTGAAGAAGCTTGAGATTAACAAAATCTGCGTTGATTACAACAGGTTTATTAATATAGTTGATGTAGCATAGACTGTATGTAATCAAGTTAAACTAGCTTTAGAGCCCGAAATGAGTAACTTGGCAATGAAGTGTTCTTGATCGGAATAAGGCATTTCAAACAATAATACAAGCATCTCTGTATTAATAGTTCAAAATTTAAGAATGCCATTTGTTTTTCTTAATAAATGTTAACAAATGATGCTAGATATTTTGAGCAGAAATTTGAAACAGCCTTTTCTGGTAAAATTAATCTTAAATCTGGCCTATTTCTTAAAACCTTAACAAAAATGGAAAATCCGTGTTACATGGCCTTTGAATAAAGATGATCACTAAAACAAAATTTTCACTCTAAAATTATTTGATGTGTACTTGTGTCCCACCATACATTCCAGCCATATTATGGTCCATTTTTAGTCACAGTAAAATATTCGTTTTGTTGCAGTCTACCCCATTTATTGTTGAATCATTTCGGTCAAACCATAGGACTATACATCAGATTGTACTGAAAAGCAGCCCCTTAACTTACATCTGTATCTTCAATTATAATTTAAATGACTGGATTCTAAAGCTGCAGTCCATGCATAGACGAATTTCAGCAGCATTGGAAAGCAAGAGATGGCCAACAAAAGGTTTTAGAAATCAAACACTTTAAAGAAAGTGCAAACCCCATCTGTTCACAACAAGATTAACATATTTAACGCGTACCATACGAGATTAGCCTAATGGTCCAATTCTAAACTGTGTAAAGTAGTTCTCTGTGATTATGGAAGTAACACAACCGAGAGGCGGACTGGTACTGAGAGGGAAATTTGTTAATAGAATTGACTAAATTGTTTGTTTAGAGTCTTTAATACAATATTAATATATGGCAGTTCAACTTTTGGCTCACCTAAAATAAGATCTGGGTGCTTGCAATAAAAATAAAATGAGAAAGTTGAATAGTCTACCAATGTACAGGAAGTGAGCCAATTTCTGCGAATGAGAATAGTTTATCAATATTACTACGATAAAAATTTGTCGATATTATTGTCATTTATCACCCGCTATTTTGTATTCCATTAGCACTTTATTAAACAACACTCTCGCATTATTCTATCCATTCATAATCTCCTGACTTTTAATTACCTTGAGTCATTAATCAAAGCAGCTACTCCGTACAAAATGTCTTTACACATATATATATATACATACATATATGTCTGCACAAATAAAAACTACTGTTTCAAATGCTTTATTAAGCTTACAGCTTACTCTTCACTTCCCTCTCCATCTTCATCTCCATCCACATCTCCATATCCATTTATATCAACCTCTTCCGCTTCCTGTTCTTCATCATCGTCATCTTCATCTTCCTCTTCCAGTTCTTGTTCTAGCTCTTGTTCCAATTCTTCATCTTCCTCATCACCCTCCTCCTCCTCTTCCTCTTCTGCCTCCTCTTCTTCGTCTTCTTCTACTTCTACTACTTCATCTTCCTCCTCTTCTTCCTCTTGTGTTTCTTCATCTGCAACTTCTTGTTTATGTTCCCGACCTTCTTCACCTTTATCTACCTCACCCACATCTTCCTCTCGCTCTCTCACATCCACCTCTTCTTCTTCGTCTCCCATTTCTACTTCCTCTGCATCTTCCTCACCACCACCCTCGTCATCATTCTCTTCTTCTACGTTAACCTCAACCTCAACCTCAACCTCACCCTCACCCGCACCCTCACCTTCTAACTTATCATCTTCTTTTTCACTCACTTCCTCACCATCCTCATCACTCACACCATCCTCATCGCTCTCACCGTCACCCTCACCGACACTAATTTCTTTCTTCCCATTCTCAGGTTCGACAGTATCTTCCATTTCTACATCCATAGTGTGAGCTTCTTTCTCTTCCGACACGTTATTATCATCCACTTGTGCCGAAGCAGAAGAGGCAAGAGCCAATTGACGCTTCTGTTCTGCGATCGTTTCAAGCGACGTGCTGGATAATTTAGCTGGGAGATAGTAGAGTGGAGGGGATGTTTTAGTGCAAAGAAAATTGGCAAGATTTTTCTTTTGTTTAGACCAACATTCGCGCTAAATATAAATAAGAATACGAAAATCTTTAATAAGAAATCATGACATAAATAGTACAAATCAAAGCATTATAAATTTAGTATCCACCAGTTCAGTTACTCGTCGTTCTTCGTCTTCTTTCTTCTGTCGTGCAATCTTTTCCCGTTTTTCTTGTTCCTCACGTTTCATCTTTTCCGCCAATTCCTCCCTTTCCTTTTTTAGCTTCTCTTGTATTTTCTGATTTATCTTTTCTTGTTTGAGTGACTGCGAATAAAACGAAAGCTATTAGGAAATCACGAACAAATCTTAGCAGAGGCGATTCGGGTTTATTACACATACAGCCTCGGTTTTATTTTGGATGTCGTTTTTAAATTTAGTTAGGGTGCCCATCATCAAGCCAAACATCCTCTGGCTCCGTTTCTTTAATTCTGTATTATTCATATCTAATCGTGGTCGTTTGTTCTATGTAAATGGCAACAGCAAATGAGCAAAGCAAACACAAGGTATCACGGAACAAACGCGTTAATGGACTTTTTTAGATCTAACCTCCTCTGGATCTCTGTTAGCATCCTCGTCTTCGCTCGCCCGCCGTTTTAGGTGGTTATCTTCATCGTAGCGAGAGGACCGTCTTGCCGTGGAAGAGGCAGGGACAACTATGCTCGAAGTAACTAATGTTTGGCTTTTTGGGGGTGTTGATGCGAGTTGCTAGTCTGAAAACTATGTTCATTAAGACAGGAAGAGCGCTGTTTGCAAGTACCTTGGAATATTATCATTCTTGGCTGTAACCTTTTGGGCAACTTCGGCAGACATTAGAGGAGGATTCTTGATCGGTGAAGGAAGAGTATGTTCGGAGTTGGCGACGTTAATTCAACAACCACCCTATTGTTGAACTACGCCACAAGAATTTGCTCACGTGTTAATTTGCAGATCAAATCTCTACTTTAATATTAAAGCAAAAAATGTTCGAAAGATTGTGAAGCAATGCTTAATTTAAAGAATTGTCGCTTCTACTGGGTGACCTAAGCAGGCGGCCTCGTATGTGGCTATGCTGATAGCAATGTTGATTGGATACGAACATTCCTTACGTATGGAAATGGGGGATGCTCTTTAATTAACAGACACAAAAAGGTGACGTAGTGATGGTAGCTTAGAGCTCTTTAGTGAGTTATATACCGTGTTCTTCAAGCGCAATAATGACGATCATAACGATGAGAAGGATGAGAGGAATTACGCCCTTACTTTTTGAAAGACGAGAAGAATGCGTAGCTTACTATTGGCCTCTCGTGTTCAAGATAATATTAGAAACAAGAAATCTAACGTTTGTAATTTTATATTAGGGTAACTCTGAATCGAAGTAAACCTGTAAGAGCAATGTAAAGTGGAAGCATTGAACCCCATCTATAATGTAAAAACTTTGCCCTTGGTCAACCGTCATGCCATTTTTATATTGAATCTCATTATTAAATAAGAAAACTTTATTCACTGGTACAGGAATCGATTCAATACAAAAAGAAAAACGAGAAAAATCGAACAATAAAATTAAATTAACTTCAAAATACAAAGGAAATCCGCCGCAAACAGGGTAAGTGAGTCCATTTACGTAAAGTAAGTACTTTAACATCAAAGCGCAAATTGTTCACGTAATATGAAAACACTTGTAGAAGCTTTAACTGTTAATAGATGAATTGTCTCCATTGGGATCTGTAGACGTGGCAGTAGAGGTTTTTGTAGACGTGTCTTGACTGTCAGTAGAAGTCTTTGTAGGCGATGATGACGCAGTATCAGTGGCAGTAGCCGTGTCTTCAGTAGACGTAGACTTACTGTCAGTAGAATTCTTGGTAGGCGCTGGTGACTCAGTATCTGTGGCAGTAGCCGCATCTTTAGTAGATGTAGCTTCGCCGTCAGAAGAATTCTTGGTAGGCGTTGGTGACTCCGTATCAGTGGACGTATCTTGACTGTCAGCAGAAATCTTTTTAGGCGCTGGTGACTCGGTATCGGTGGCAGTGGCTGTGTCTTTAGTAGATGTAGCTTCACCGTCAGAAGGATTCTTGGTAGGCGTTGGTGACTCCGTATCAGTGGACGTATCTTGACTGTCAGCAGAAATCTTTTTAGGTACTGGCGACTCGGTATCGGTGGCAGTGGCTGTGTCTTTAGTAGATGTAGCTTCACCGTCAGAAGGATTCTTGGTAGGCGTTGGTGACTCCGTATCAGTGGACGTATCTTGACTGTCAGCAGAAATCTTTTTAGGTGCTGGTGACTCGGTATCAGTGGCAGTAGCTGTGTCTTGACTGTCGGTGGGAGGCTTGTAAGTTTCGTTGGGTTTGAGGCCAAGCTTATTCTTCGGTTTTACAGGCGGGGTATTTGGTTTAGCAGTTTGTTTGTCGTTGGACTTTACAGGTTTTTTGCCATTTGGTTTTTCAGTTGGCTTAGTCTTGCTCTTGGGCTTAGCAACTTTGCAATGGTGTTTTTTGTCACACGGTGGCAAGACTTTGAGAGGTCTGTTGGGGTCGTGAGTGGGTTTGGGGCTTTTTACAGCGACTTTGCTCTTGCTCCCTTTTGGAGTTGGCTTAGTGGAGGGTTTTGTGGGAAACTTGGTATTGGGACGGGGTTTTGCAGCGGCTTTGCTCTTGCTCCCTTTTGGCGTTGGAGTTGGCTTAGTGGAGGGTTTTGTGGGAAACTTGGTATTGGGACGGGGTTTTGCAGCAGCTTTGCTCTTGCTCCCTTTTGGCGTTGGAGTTGGTTTAGTGGAGGCACTTTTTGTGGGTAATTTGATCTTGGGACTGGGTTTTGCATCGGCCTTGCTCTTGCTCCCTTTTGGCGTTGGAGTTGGCTTAGTGGAGGCGCTTTTTGTGGGCAATTTGATCTTGGGACCGGGGTTTGCAGCGGCTTTGCTCTTGCTCCCTTTTGGCGTTGGAGTTGGCTTAGTGGAGGAGCTTTTCTTGGGTCCTGCGCTCTGGGCACTGCAATCGTTTGTGTCACATATTGACACGGTACCGTCTTTAGGACTGGGAGTCGTTGTACTTTTATCAGGACTGGGAGTCGTTGTACTTTTTTTAGGACTGGGAGTCGTTGTACTTTTATCAGGACTGGGAGTTGTGTTATTTTTATTACTGGAAGCTTTGGGAGGGTTGTTACCGTCGCCTGTCAAATCGCTAGGATCACCTGTAAATTTCTCATTCCTATGCAAGACTTTTGGTCTCCTTAGTCGAAGTCTTCCCTTTATTGCAAAGCGTCGCTTAGTGAAAGTAGAAGAATGGTTGCATGTGCCGAGATAAGATTTGGAAGCTATACAGTTAGAAGCACACGCGACTTTCGAAGCCTTGCATGTGTTCCTTACATAGCATGGTTTAAAACTTGGGCATGTCGTTCCATCGGGCAAGTTAACCAGTCTAAATTCATTGTCTGATAAAACTAGTTGAGAGTCCGCGGTAGCTGGAGTCTTCTCGCATTGATTGTTGAAACTGTATTTTGCATCGCATCCTGAGCCGCAATCAGCATCACTGTTACCGCAATAGCCCGCTGCGCTGCAGCATGGCAGATCGTTCGTGCATTTATTGCCACCCTAAAAAGGAATTAACAAATTAATAATTAAAGTTTTATTTTCATAAAACGGCATGCGCTATATTAGGAAATGATGGGTGATTTTCGATGTTTATAAGAATAGCAATTACAATCTAAACCTCATTCGTTCTAGTGTAACATTATACATTCCGAGTTAAATGAATTTTCACCCTAAATAATAATCCCTTTCATTACCATATTTGGACATCCAGAAATTTCGGGAAGGGGTCCATTTGCGATGATAGTAACTAAATGTTGAGAAGAAAGTTTAGTGCGAAAGTTTAGTGCGATTCTCAAAACATGACGGCGACTAATAAAAAAGATCGAGGTACAAGATGAAAGTTAATAGCTTAAGTAAAGGGAATGTGGTAACAACGTATTGTCTGAGCGATATTCGTAATAATGATTACTACTCAATGTATCATTTCTTATCTATTGAATATGCACTGAACCGTCTCATTCTCTTTAGTCAGCAGATATGTTTATACTTACATTCATCCGAATACGTATACTTTGAAGAATCTTTTCCAATGGCAATTGAATAATCATTGCCAGACTTGATTTTCCCGTCTACTGTATATTCGCACTCTCCATCCGTTGTTTTGACATTCTCACAAATGATGAAATCGAACAGGAGATTCTCAGGGTTTCCGTGGACCAATCTAATATCGACAGTATCCTCGGGCGTTCCTGAGAGCTTCCATTGTATTTTGATATGTTCACCCGCTTTCCATGTTTGCCCAGTATTAGGGTTTGTTACTGTGTATTGAGCTGATGAGAAGAGGATGCGTGATGATGAAATGAAGATGAGGAGGAAAAATTGGGGTAACGACCGCATTGCGTTTGCGGCGTGAGGATGAGAATGGGGGAGGCTTCGGGATGAGAGAGACGAAGGAAAGGTAAATTTGGTTGGGGGATGATGGAGAGTGGGTCGTTAAAAAGAATGTGAGGTCCGTTACGGTGTTATAAATGAAAAGGTAGAAAAGAGACAAAAAGGATATGCGCGTGTAAGAGTTTGTTTATATAACTAGTGGCATGACATACAATGTGTTATTATGAATTGCAGAATTGACAGTAATGTTTGGCTATTACAATTTGCAAATCTTGACTGATTCGAGACGATGAAACCCAAATTTGGATGATAAAGGTTTCTTCTTCACTTGACGCTAGCAAGTGTAGCACCACAGACAGGGTTCAACAATGCTGATTGTCCGCGTCATATTACGATAATTCTATTTCTTTTTGGTTAATTAACGTTAAGCATACCAAAGGTCATAGCGTACGAGTCTCGGCCTTGTCCAATCGAATTATTTAAAGAAATTGAATAGTCCCCAGCAAAAAATACAGCGCAATTGCAAATTGTGCATTCTTTTTAAAGCTCTATTTGGTTAAAGTTCCAAACAAAATATGTTAATTTTGACAGTATTAGGGTTTAATGTGTTGCGAGTAAAAGTAGTGCGGAGTTGATTAGGTATAGTTCGAGTTTCTGCACGTTACTTATTGGTCATGCTTTGGAAACGTCTTTTGAACAATTTGCTTAGTAATTCAAGTTCATTAACTCGCTTTAATTGATAGTTTTTTTTTAGCTCATCATGTAAATAAAGTTTTATCATAAATTGGTTTCATACCAAAATTGGGCAAATTACGTGTACGAAAACGCATAACAGGCCATCAATTTCTTTTTCTTATTGGTATTCACGAAAAATGAGAAAGAGAAAAATTATAGTGATATTCCAAAAATGGACGACTAATGGCAAACACGTCCCTCCTGTTCATAGCAAAGTTTACGAAGAGACCTCCACAATTTCTGTTGCTATACTTACAGCATTCCAAAAATAAATGCGCATACACATCACAAACTATCCGTACATGTTATTATTATGACATTGTGTTATTAACAAAGACGCTTCAGTATTGCACGCCAAGTTTGACATTATTTGCGTCAATAGATATTGAGTGAAAGAGACAATCGCATAAACATACCACTATTTCCTACGCATGGCAATATAAATCAACAGCAGTTGTCATGCGTCGTAACGTGCTATCTCTTTATCCTTGCGGTCAGACGTTCTAAACGGGCCTGCTTATGAGAAATAATAATTAACAAACGTGTCTTAATCAATAACATTAATCATTATGTAACTAACTTGCCATATCTTTCTAATATTCTTCTAATAGAAATAACCGCATCGGCGGTGCTTTTCTCAACAAGATATGCTCCATCATAATAATACATCGCACACATATTCAAATCTCGCTCTAAAAAAGAACTGTTTTAGAAAAACAATAACGTAACCCACAAATAACTAATAAAACTTTACTTACTATCAACAAGATTTGCAATGCCTTTCATCTTGACGTAATCCTCAGCAATAGCATTTCAACTACCTCAAGAATACCAACGTATTCTTCAACGCCATTAATGTTAACCGTAAGGATTCCATCATCTGTTATGTCTTCCAAAGATCGACTAGTCATATTCGAAGTAAGCACTTTCTCTCGGTTGCATTTAGGGCGTTATCTATTTTACACACTCGTGTAAAGAACTAAAATTTTAAAGTAACAAAAACATGCACGTATTGCTCACCCTTGACTTTCTTCGTCTCTGTTAAGGTTTTATTATAGTTTACTAACTTCCTTTTACGAAGTCACTTTTAAGATTGCATGCAAAATGTATTTGAATTAATTACTAATCACGATCAATAGAACAGTTTTTGTAAAATGGACAATAATGGTGGATCCTAAAAGATGATTAAAAAGCATTCCACCGAACTGATAAATTATTAGGGATATTGAGATTTGGAAAATAGTTATTAATCCTGAAGCCAGAAAAGCATCCTGATTTTACAAATCAGCCACGCACTGGATGAAAAAAAGATGGAAAAAGATAATTGTAGAGACTTGACACAGAACGTTGAGTTCCGAATATGTAGAGACTTGTAAGGAGGCCCTTCCGCCAATTATACTAATACAAAATAAATGGTATCTTTAACGGTCTCCTTTGACAAAATTTTCATCTCCTGCAGAAATCATCTAGTCCACAGGCTATCTAATATCAGCATGTCAAAAAATCAGGAGGGTTTTTTTGGGAGGATGTCAAATATGTTATCAGAACTACCAGAAGCAAAATGAATTATAGAAAAACAATTAATTTACATTAATTTACATTACTTTTCTTGCCTGAGCGACCAGGATACAATATTGGACATCAATGGATTCGTATTAGAGAGTGAGAACGCGATAAATATCGATATTACACGGATGAATTTTTGTCAACGATTTTGTGTATCTACGATATTTGTGTCTAATTGATACATACGGCTTTGTTGAGTTGCTCTTTATTAATACAAGGTTGTAATTACACGTCAGTTGAGCATTCGCCGTTAAGAAATACGCTGATTGACTTTGTACGGGTGAGATGGGTTGTTCTTCCACCTTGGTAAACAAACAAAAAAAAAATTGCCATTTGATAACTAATACTAATGTTACTGACATTACTGTAATTATTGGTAGAAGAGCAGTTACTGTCTACTTTTTATGGAAATTCCTAGACTTGACTGTTCCCGTTGTGCCAGCAGGTGCTTCAATCAATATTAATATTGCATAATGCGTACTTCGCCCGATAACCCAGGACTGTCAAGCTCGGGTACCTAAGCAGGATATTTGAGAGTAGTCTTTAAATGTTGAATTGAAATTCGTAAAGATAAAGCAATCGATTAGTGAATGTTAATATGTATCAATACATTGGCGTGTATTAAACGTGTTCAATCCATTATGGTCTTTATACCATTCGATTGTTCGTTTTGGAGATTTCTCTGACGCCTCAAATAAATGCGCGAATTACATTATTTATTATTATTGGAACTTGTTTTGATTTAACCAAATATGCAATTCGTTTTTGTGCTACAAGTCTAAATATTATCGATATATTAGGCTTTATTGTCCACTCAATGATTATGTTTTAACCTGACTTTTGTTTTATCTCTCCTGCGAAAAATGGTCAAAACTATACGCATCGAGCTTACTGACGATATTCAGGATGAAGTAAATAAAATATCTGATGAATCCTCCGCCGACTCGAAAGTATATGTGCTCTTTTTTGGTAAAGAATCAACTGTAAAATATATCATTTAATCAATTGTTAATGTGTACTGCAGCCAATATTTACGCTTACATAAAGTGAGCATTGTTAACCTCACTCCTGTCATTGTCTTTGTCGCGTTGCTTTGACTCAGGTACCGAGCTTCCATCTACGGGACAGTCATGGTGCCCAGACTGCTATCAGGGTATGGTATTTGCAATATTAACAATATGGGCATATATATATATTATAAATTGCTAATAACGCCATTTCAGCCTATCCACACATTCGCAATGCGTTTGACGAGTGCGCATCAAATGCAACATTGATCGAAGCACCAGTTGGCACAAGAGAACAGTTAAGTCCAGAGATTTCCATAAAAACTAGACAATAGCTCACTACTCTACCAATAATTAACGTCAGTAACATTGGTTATTGGTAAAGTAATAAATACATGTAACCAATCGATGGCGTCAAATGGCAATTGCTTATTCTTTCATTTGTTTACCAAAGATGGAAGAATAATCCATCTCACCCGTACAAAGTCAATCAGCGTATTGCCCTACGCAAAATTCCTACTCTCATTAGATGGACGGTGCCTGCCGGAAAAAATGATCGGCTAGTAGAATCAGAGTGTGAAAACGACGAACTGCTCAAATTCTTCTTAACCAGGGATTGAGATTCAATTGACGTGTCCAATCACTAATTTAAGAGCAGACTTGGACTTGTAATTATAATCTTGTATTAATACAGTTTATAAGTCAACAACCAAATAAAGCGTCGTCATTCCACACATTGTCGGTTGTGTACCAATTAGACAAGCACAATGCTTTTAATATTAAGATTGTCGATATGGTGCAAGCTGCTCTCACCACCGCATCCAAATCATGCAAAACACTCACACTGTGGGCGTTGTTGCGATTGATAATATTATTATCGTTATACATATCGTACAAAGCTCGTAATCAATCGAATAAATATCATTCATGAACCATATGAGAATCCCTCTCGCAACTAAGAAGCGTTATTTCCAACATTGATATTGCTCGGATTTGTCCTTGAGATGACAGAATTCAAAAGACTATTGCCATTAATTATCTGAGTCGTGGCGATCAAATATTCACGTTGACCTATTGTTAACACGGTATGGTATACAACATCATTCAATTAATATCACGTCTATCAATTGTCTTGTCCGTGCGAAAAGGTATAATTACATACCTTCGTCTTGCTGGGCAAGGAATCTCACTGCCGATATCTCAGTATATGTACATCCCCCCAAGAAAAACACAAGAGTCACTCGTGGTTGCTGTCCTCCTGTCACAAGAAGAGTTATCGAGTTAATATCAGCATAACTGAACGTACATGTCTTATATCACCAGGCAACTCGGAATCGATAGTGTGAAATCATAAAGATATCAGAATTTGATAGTATACAGAAAATTCGTCATTGTCAAAAGCTAACTCGCACATTCCCCTCACACACGTACTCTTGGATTTCATAGCCCCATCGTCAATCTTTTGTATTTCGTCAAAAGATTTCCCAGGGAGCAGCCTTAGCACCTCTTCATATCCTTTCCAACCATTAATCTTCATTCCGTTTGCCGAATTCCCAGCTCCAACAGCAGCGTTGACGTGAGTGGGATGAGCCAATGCAGTAGGCCCGCCCTTTGTCACGACACATTGTATTAATCGCACGCTCAATGGGGCAAATCCAGAGTACACGTACGAAATATCGTGCGGATTGTGTTCATCGACTTCATCGACTATTAACTTGAGAAATTGGCGGATGTGTTTATAAGGGTTTTTCGTTGACTGTTGCTTAATAAATAGATTCAATTTCTCGAGGTTTATTAGAGTTTGAAGATGTTCAAAACCGTATGTCTGGAGTATGTGCGTATCGGTATACGGTATTCGTTATTTTAGTCGGGTGAGTAAATGTCAATGGTATAGCTTGATAGCATCTAAATTTATCACTAGTCCTTGCCTGTAGAATTTCTTTCTTAAAGAATTCAAACGTCTTTTGCTTTAATCCTCCGTTGACTAGAGATTGCAGACAGAGCAGTCTTAACACCTGTACCAGAGGTATTTGTCTATTAATCATTTCTTCAATATACTCGTTCTGGGTGTTGACATCGATGCCCGCAACAAGATCTTTGAAGCACATGTATGTGTTAGAAGTCTTGTGATTAACGCATGTCGTTAATTCACCATGAAAAAGTGTATATATATATACTTTGTTGGACTTCAAGAGCACGGTTAAACTCTTGGGTAACCGTATACGTCATTATTTCCTCAGCTACGCCAGTATCTATTTCCATTCGTTAAGGTAATTTTAAAAAGTGGAATTACGGCAACGACAACGGCAATAACAGTAATAACGTAGACATTCTTATTTCAAAGGATACGCATTCGTAAGGAGTGATGTTCAGACTGTAAGCCACCCAGTTTGTTTACAAATTCTCTTACTTGAGCCACTGTTCTTGCTTGATGCCTTACCTAAGGAGAACATATACAGACAGAGCAATGGAAACTCTTTATGACACGCGTTAGCATAATAGACAAACACAAGCATGTATCTACCTCGTAATCCTCATTGATCCTTCTAGCCACTCTATTAAGCATACCACCGACAACAGCAAAATTCACATCTCTCAATTGACAAAACAATTTGTCACCAGAATTCAACGGCACTTTCTTCTTTTTCGCTGCAGGCTGAGCAGGCGGGGGCGGCTGCGCCTGAGATGCTGTTGATGACGATGCGGTTGAAGTCGCGGCTGCAGTTGGCCTTTGTGGTGGAGGTCCCACTATGCTAGAATCAAGCTCGACAACAGTAGTCTTGATGCCAAACACTTCATCAATTAACCCTTCGTATGTTAATTGAGTGCAAAGTGGTGTTATTTGATCCACTTGCCGATCGATAATTATAAGAGTGTCGATGCTGGGCGAGACGGAAAAGGCAGAGATTGGATCATCGACAGCTCTCTCACGTCTCATTCGAATTAGCATGTCAGCTAATTGCTTTATGACGAATCGCATATAATAGAGGGGATAATAATTACAAATTTGTGCTTTTGTAATCCTAAACACCTCTTCGTATCAACATACCTTTGCGCAATCACCCTTTCCAATAATCCTCGGAAATAAACCAAATTCTTTCTGCAACTCCATCAACGCCCTTGCAGCATAGTAGATTGCCGTGTAATCTCCATCCTATTCATTACCACCATTAATCGATTATTTATCAAAAAGCAGAAAATCATCCCTGTTGACGCTGATTTTATATTCACATTCTTTCAATGCGCATCCCCGAAAACAACCCCTTTAGAGAATAAGTACCAAGTATAACTCCTTGAAACTATTATCTAGTTCAAGAGATAATACATCATCTTCGAAAGGAATCAGGTCCAGGTGGTATTCTCCAAGGACAATATGTGAATCAGAGATGTAGTTAAGGAATTATATCCGTCAACGTAACATACGCGAAATTGCTTAGTGCATAAGCAATCTGTCAGAGGACATGTTCGATCTTCAGTGAACAAAGCCGAGAACGCACAAGGAATGTTGTCTGACAAATGCTTGGGCGATCATCTCCATTAATCAATAATACGAGCCAGGTTACTTATAAAACCTTAATGTCAAAGGATATCCCCTAATACACCTTTTTCCTCCAAGACCCTCTGACATATCATAGTCCTGCGTGGGACAAAGTACAAATGGTATTCATATTTCTGTCCGAGATCATCCTCGTTGTTTGCTCGCTCGAGTTGATGATGTTTAACATGATCTAAGTTGGAGATAACAAGGTAAAGGCCAACACACTTGATCAATAACAAATATACAGAGATGTGACCACGTGTAATAATACTCTTGAATGTTTTCCTACCAGCTATGTATTTCATGTATTGTAGTTGTGGACGACACATATATATTATACTCTTTAGCTCTGTTTCTATAGCAGTTTGTTGGAGATAATGAATTTTTTCCACTCCGTGATCCTACAAAGTTTCTCTTGTCACTACCGGCAATAGGACAAGAAATGTCAAACTTATAGATACCTACCTTTAATAAGGAAAATTCGGCAATAAGACTCAATGGACCGCTCAAGTTTGAATCCAACACTAGACATTTTTTGCCCCGAACCTAAGAATATGCAACTTTTATTGATATACGTTCAGAAGTATATAATACGACAGCTTATTACACTAGAGATTTTGATTTCGTTGACTTTAAATGCAAGATCACATGTGAACTAAACTAATTCCTTGACAAAAGCCCAACTTACAGAGTCTAATACGTCAGTCAACTGTTTCCTCGCCTTCTCTCGCAAGCGAGCAACGTTGAGGGTGGCATTTGAAGCACCTAAATGAGACATGTAGCCTAAAACCACCTTTTATTACTGCTAATTTATCTACGATGATTATTCCTATAGATGAATCGTAATGGAATAATGGCAAGCTATACGGCAGGTAAACAATGCAATATTAATTATTTTTTTAACATAATTAACAGATTCATCGTGTCGTGTGATCTCTGACATAATCCAATTACCGAGAGATTATTGGTAAATTCC